TGTTGTATATAATATGAGCAATTTTAAAAATATTATATTACCCAGATATTATTATAGCAGAAACCAAAAAACTGAATCATTTAAACTTCAATTATTTCATAAAGCAATGTTAATGGCGAGAGTCAAGCTGTCGAGTATTTTGCAAAATGTGATGACCAAAGACCAGTCATTTTAAAGATTAATTGTTTTGTTTTAATTGTAAATTTAATTTATTATATTTTACTATACACTATGACGTATTATGCAAGAAATTAATGTGCATAAGTTCTATCACACAGTTTGTAATTTATAAAATATAATATACCTACTAAATAAAAATGTAATCAATTAGTTGTTAGGCAGGTTATGTAAATAACCACAAGTAATTTAAAAACTGTGTAGCATATTAGAATGATATTTTATTAAAATTCTATTGATTGCAAAAGCACTTAGTATATTAGTAATGCATTGTTGTTCCAATTTAATCAATTTAAAATCATCCAATTCTATTTTGGACACTGCTACGATGAAAAAGCCATGAAATGTTAATCCTTAACACATTGGAGACAAGCGCCGCATTTAACACGGTATGTGAGTAAAATACATATAGTCGATCATTTCCCACCAATTATTTCTTTTAAAGACAGATTATTTTATTTTATTTTCTCTAGTTGTTTACTCGTTATCGAATAATCTGATTAAATTGTTTTTTTTTTGTCGTATTCTCTAAGTGGTAGATCTAAGAATAAATATCATATTGTAAAAACCAATAATAGTAATATACACGTTATTTCAACAGTTTAAGCGAACAAAACAAAAAGTCGTCCGAGATATATTGATTTATATTGCTATTTTCATTATAAATACATCTAGACATAGGTTATAGGACTAATATAAAAATAGTATAATATATAATTATTCTTTTTTTAATTTCATGTTTTCTTTGTGTATACAACATGTTATAATTATAATTTTATAATTGACAGAATATTGTACAATTAGCAGTGTAAAGCATGCATGTGACAACATATTCATTATAAGTACAATTATAGCCTATAGGAGTATAGGTCAATAAAATAAAATAATCGGAAAAAGTATCGATATTTAATATCGATTCAATATAATTTATACTAGAACTCAATATAAATAAAATATTGATATTCTTAAACGATTTTATGTACAAACCGTTCTAAATACGGTGCTCGTCCTTTTAGATATGAAAGCAAATACCATGTTAGAAACGGTGCTCGTCTCAAACGTAATAACAAAATAAAAGCAGTTGGTCTCCTATGTATTAAAATTGAAATGATTTATAAACCATTCAATAGTTTTGAGAAGCTTATATTGTTATTAACTACACAAACATTGAATTTAGCATTTTAAAAAAGAGATGAAGGGTTAGATAGGTACTACAGTAGGTACTTGGGCAAAATCTCCCACAAAAGCAATGCTTATTGGAGATAGATTGGAGTTTAATATGTATAAAATCAAATATGTAAAATCGGAGATCGGTTAAAATAAAAATTGCGTTGTTTCCTCCGTCGATACACCTACAATATATATATATGTATGTATGTATATATATATATTCACATATCGTCAACCCTCAGCACCTAACGTCTACGAGGCGTAGTTTTCACTTACTTTTTGTATTTGCATCGTAGGCGGCACACGACGGTTTTGATTGTAAGCGGCCGCGGCTGCTGCGGACGCCATTTCGAGCGGATTTCTATTAGCACTGCGGGCTGCCAGAATGACGACGACGATGACGGTGACGGCTAGAACAAATATCTGTCGATGCGGCGCTTGGGAACGCGTAAAACTACCTGACTTGAATAAAAACAGAAGAGAGGAGAAAAAACGGAGTGTGAAACACACGAATCGATACCAAAGAACGCGGCGAAAAAAGTAATGAAATGTGCGACTGTTAGCGTGTGCCGTTTGGTGCTGCAGCGTGTGCGTGCGTGCAAGCGAGCAAGCGTTTCCGAAAACAAAACGGATTTTTCGACCGCGCACTCTCGATTCGGCGGCGGCGGCGACAAATGGATCCGACACTCGACCGACACGACAAATAATAACAACAATAATAATATTATAATTATTATTAATTATTTATCATCGTATCGGGCGGGCTGAAAATATTACAACATCGTATATTTTATTAAAGGTTAGGTAGGTCAGGAGGCCGTTCGATTTACACCTCCAACACTCGACGTCGACATACGACATACGACAGTCGACCGCCACCGTTATGAGATGACGAGACCGGCCAGACGATGGGCAAATACGTCGAACCATAACGTGTACCAGCGAATGACAAAAACCATAACCACTAACAACCGATGCCTAACACTACAGCATCCGATTTTATCTAAGGACAATATCCTGCGCATTGTTAATATTGTTATGGGAGTCTGGATGACTTGCATTTTTCAAAAAAAACGACCCAGTTGTTATGTGTAGGTAGTTGTTACGTATACAGTAGGATCTTGTTAATGCGAACGACATTGGACAAAGGGATCATTTGGATTAGATACATATGACATAAAAAAAAACCTATGTTCTTGCAATTTAAATTTTGAAAATTATTTTTAATTTTTATCTTTAAGTACTGTATTAATTCATAAATATTCGTTATTAAAAAACAATGAATACAATCAAAATCATTACCTATAATTATATTACATGAACAACCAATTAATGTGTATACATATATTACCTAGTACCTACATGTTATTATGATACACCTAGGTATGTGTGTATTAGGTAATAGTACAGCGATGCAACAATTTTAAAGCCTGTTCGGATTACCGCGTCTTTCGGATTAGCCCGTGTTCGGATTGATGAGACCAAACTATATTATAATTTTTTGAGTAGATAACATTGCCTATATTTTGTTTCAAGTAAAATATACGGTCACAGACCCAATAGGCCACACAGAGTAAATAAATGCATTTTCAATAGCTTATATTATATTAAACTAATTTGTCACATCAAGACTGATGGAGGACGGAGATAGCGTAGAATATTTAGTAAGTAGGTATTGAAAGTCTCGAATGCGTCAAAGAATGTTTTTTTAATATTTTGCCTATCAACGCATTTTGAAGCAATAAAAGAACTTCGATTTTCAATGTTGAAAGTGGTTTCTGGTAGCAAATTGAATCTAATTATTATTCGAAAAGATCAAAAATAAAATTTCCTAACACTTTCCGAAAATAAACCGAATATAAACCAAAAATCGAAATTTTTTCATAAAACCAGTTTTTAAATAAATTGATTTTGCTTTTTATTGTAGGTAATTTAAAAATAAATGACTAGAGACTTAAAATTTTCACTTAATTCAATATTATTATTCACTTAATATGATATAATTTTCAAAAGATTTTGTCTATTATTGTAATAATATTCATAGATATTTGAAAATATCAAATAAGGATTAAAAATTAAATAGGTACCTAACTTACAACGTTCTTCATAAATCGTGTTTTCTTTGTCATAGCCATTTCAAGTTTAGATTTCTACAAAAAAAATGATCTAAAAAATCTAATTAAATAAATTAAAAAATGTTATTAGATATGGATGTGATAATGAGTGTTAGAGTAATTTAAAATATGAATTATAATATTATAATATTAATAAACAATAGTATACATTTAAATATTTTTATGCATTACATAAAATTTTAAAAATTAATTAAAAAGTAAAATATGAATAAAAACAATTTTATCAAAAATATTTTCATTAACATTCATATTGTTTTGTTGGCAACAGACTGTTGCACTATACAATTAAAATATGTCTAATGTTTTCAATGTATAACACTCAAACAGAAAATCTTATTGGTACGCGATAAACTTAATCACAACAAAAACCCCACAATAATAATATTAAAATTATTGTTTTGAATATTACACAAATTTTCTTTAAAATTAAAAATTTAAGAAAAATGTCCACACATAGTTCAAAAATTACAAAAAATAACTCATAAAGTGGAAAAATGACGTTAAAAAACAAAAAATGCATTTATAGCTAAAAATGCAAAAAAATGCAAAATAAAACTAGAATATTCTGAATCAAGGGAACATGAAACAAATTTTTAGCTAGGATAGCATTGTATAGAATCAAAGAGAAAAAATGCAAATGTCAGCCATAACCTAACTCTAGATTCAAGTAATAACCATTTTAACCCAAAGCTCAATAAGATTGTGATCATTAATATTAAAAAATGTTGATAATTTAATACCTATTTTTTTAGTTAAAACCTAAAAAAACCCTTTTTGTAATTGATTACTGAATTGTTTCAATATATTATGTAATATTTGACAACAAAACAATTACCTGAAATATAGCTTTCATCCACACTAAAAAATAAATTTAAATGTTCTTATATTAACATCTTCCACCTTCACCAATAAAATCCTAAATATTCACCTTAGTACGTATTTATTATTTTAGTGAATATCTGAATTATAATAAAGATAAGAAACAGTCAAGTATTAGTCAGCAGTAATTAATTGTCGAAAAATAAAAATAAAATAATAAAATATTCCTGTAATACATATCAAAACATATAAATGTTTATAATATCAAATAAGTAAATTTGCAAAAATGTCTATAAACAATTATCATAATAATTGTACACGTTTTGAAAATATTATAAATTATAAAAAAAAAATGTGTAAAAAAATGTTTGAAAATTCTACATAATGAAATGAATGTCCATGTATATAGATATCTGTTAAATAATTGCAGTGTATATTATATTACAATATAATATAAATATATATATATATAATTAATTGATATTTTTTAAATTTTTAAATTCAAAGTACTTATTTTATATATTTATTGTTAAGTTAGAGCAAATTTAAATCTGATTTTGAATAAATTTAATTTTCGTATATAATTTATAAATTACAGCTAATACAGCTGATAATTGCTCGTGCGCACGATAACGACTATGAAAACTATGTATATATATTTTTAGAATATTTTCCGTTATTTGGCGAGCCGGTGAAAACTTATTTGAGGGCCGCATCCGGCCCGTGGGCCGTAGTTTGGAGAGCCCTGGAGTAGACTATAGATCTATCTTACAACATGTATGACATAACAAATTTTTTAACCAGATTTATACTGTTGAGTAAGTTATTTATAGATAGTATTAAAAAAAAAATGTATGACTTATTTCTAGAGAAACATATAAACTGCTCAAGCAAGAAACTTTTCATCATATTTTATTTTAAAATTAGTTATAAAGT